TTGAGTCAAGGTTGAAATGCATCTGTTTTAGGGGCTATCTGATCTTGAGGCTTTGAGTAATGATCGTTGAGTGAGAGAACATCATGTGCACAAATTTTCGGCATAAAGCCTTTTTATGCGACTTTCTCTCTAAGCTTTCTCTTGGCTTGGTTTTCAGCTACGCGCATGTCAAAATTTTTCCCTCGTTGAGGAGAAAAACATATCAAAATTCGGACTTCGTCTACCTTGTGGTCGATGAGACATCAGCGTTGTAAGACTGTCCCGGTTTTTAGAAGATGTATCAATTTTTTATTACTCTTGGCAACTAGTTTTTCTTACATGCACCTGAATAGTAAATGGCTTACCCATTTTAGGAAAGTACAACCTACTAAGGTCCGTTTGGCCTAAAACTTGGTAGTTAAGGGGTTTCAGCCTTCTGAAGGCATCTGCAGTGATTTGGAGACCATTTGAGATCACCTTCACAGAGTTTTGGTTATGGTGTAGCTTGTATACGCATAAAGCGCAGTACTCTGAACCGTATCTTCTTCTTGTATCTGCGTGTCTTCATCTGCTTGGAGCGAAACCTTTTGGGGCCGAGATGACACCATTACAATGGCTCTTCAAAATTAGGTTTATTCTGCACGGGCTTTTATATTCACTAGGCACATTTGATACCCATGGGGTACGGTTGCTACCTCCTCCTTTTTTATGTGCATGAGGAAAGAAGTGCATCAAAATTACACAACAACTGGTTTTGATTCCCATGAAATTAATTTAAAAATAATTAATTTTTTATAAAATAATTTATAGAATATTAAAATAAATTTTTAGAAGTCTTTGGATATTGTATCTTATCATAAATAATTTTTAAATAAGCTTAAAATGTATTTTCAAGTATTTAATTATTCAAAGAGAAAGTAAAAATACTAATTGTTTTCTTAAAAAAAATTATAAATTTTGGTTCTCTTTTGGTACTCGAGGGGGGGTTCTAATTTATCGGAGAGATCTATACGTGGTTTGGTGTTCTGCCTAGAACTTGAGAATAAAAAATTATCTGAACTAGCTCAAGGAAACTAGGCCTAATCTCGGGTGTCTACAATTTGTTGATTAGAAGCTAAACGCTTTCCTTTTTTCTCAAATTTCTAATTTTGTTTCATTTAATGTAAATAGTTTTTCCAAGTATATTATATGTAAAAGGGGTAAGCTAAAACCCTTACATGGACTGTTGGGCAATACATAAGAAAAATACAGTTTACTGTGTGTGAGTGTGGTACTTGTTAGAAATAATCTCGATGTTGGCTAAGGGTATTTTGGGCATTACATTCAAATATAAGGGATATTTTGGAAAACTTATTTGGAGGGAAATTTTGAAATGATTTTACTAAGAGTTGTGTGGAGTTTTAGGGGAGTTCAAAGCATGCAATGCATGCAAGTTTGAAATTGGAATGTGTAGTATAGAATTTCTTATATATGCGTGTAATTTCGTCCAGGGTGTATGTTATGAAAGAAAACTCCACTAAACTGATGTAGAAAGAGTCTAGAAAGGTCCTAAATGATTTATATATCCATGTACCATGTTTTCTATAGGTAGAGTGAAGAAATTGTGTTGTTTTGATATCTTTTGTGTGCATAAGAACAAATTCATAAAGAAATCCTTCTTCCTCCCTACATCCAACAAGTGCTATCATAGCCAAAGTACTTAAAAACGACCCTCTTGATCCAACCACAAATTCCCCTTCTCACCAAAGACAACTATAAGAATTGAACTATTCGAATGAAGGCATTGTTGGGATCTCAAGAGGCTTGGGATGTTGTTGATAATGGATATGTAGAACCAGAAACCCCGCAAGAAGAAGCCACTTTGGATCAAAATCAAAGAAGTTTGTTAAAAGAGTTGAGAAAGTTGGACAAGAAAGTTCTCTTTCTTATTTATCAAGAAATTGATGGGAGCATTTTTTGAGAAATTTTTTTCGGCTAAAAATTCTAAGAAGGTATGGGAGATTCTTCAAAATTCTTTCATAGGAGTAGAAAAGGTGAAAAAAGTGCGTCTTCAAACTCTTAGGGTCTAATTTGAGGCATTGCATATGAATGAATCTGAAAATATTTCATAATACTTCTCAAGAAGAAATGGAGAAAACATAGATGATGTTAAAGTAATGAAAAAAATACTACAGTCACTAAGTCGTAAGTATGAGCACATTGTTGTAGCCATTGAAGAATCAAAAGATTTAGAGGCTATGACTATAGATCAACTCATGGGTTCCTTGCAAACCCATGAACAAAGATTGTAAAAAAAGACTCAACTCTTTAATGCATACACTACAAACAAAGTTAACAATAAAAGAAGAGAATGAAGAATCTCGTGGAGGAAGAGGCCAAATAGGTCATGGCAACGGAAGGAGAGGATGTGGAAAAGGTAACTTTAACAAATGGAGGTATGAGAGAGAAAGACGCACAAGCTCAAAAAGGACGAGGAAGAGGTAATTTTTCAAGGACATATAATCATTCAATGTATGGAAAAGCTACTATTCAATGTCATAATTGCAAAAAATATGGCCATTATAGTTTTGAGTGTAGATACCGTTCTCAAAATGAGCTATTTGAATAAGTTAACGAGAATCAAATGGATACTTAGTATCTTGACACCGATGCAATCAACCACAAGTCTGGTAGAAGGAGTTGTTTTTGGAGATGAAAGAATTAAGTCATGGGCATGCAACATTTGGAGACTTATCCAAGAGAAAGGTAAAAGGCAAAGGTAAAATTTTGATTCAAATGAAAAATGGTGGTTACAATACTTCCTAACGGCCACAAAGCCATTGGTGTGAAATGGATTTACAAGACAAAGAAATGCTAATAGAGATATTGAAAGGTATAAAGCAAGGTTAGTTGCCATAGTTTACAAGTACAGTCCTGGAATAGATTATGATGAGGTATTTACCCCCATTGCCCGATTAAAAACCATTAGATTAATCATTTCTCTTGCAACCCCAAATAAATGGGAAATTTTCAAATAGATGTGCAATCGTCAGTCTTGGATGTTGTTCTTGAAGAAGATGTGTACGTTGAACAACCATTTGGTTATGTAAAACAAGGGGCAAGAAACTAAAGTTTACGAATTGAAAAAAACTTTATACGGTTTAAAACAAGCCCTTGAGGCATGGAATAGTAGAATTGATAAATATTTTTTTAAAAATGGTTTTTCTAGCTGCCCATATGAACATTCTTTATACATAACGAAAAATGAAAATTGAGATATTTTGCTTGTTGTTTATATGTTGATGACATGATCTATACGGGAAATAATCCAAGCATGTTTAAAGAATTCAAATAATCTATGATTAAGGAGTTTGAAATGACCGACATTGGGCTTGTCTTATTTTCTTGGCATTGAAGTTAAACAAATGTATAATGGAATTTTGGTGTCACAAAAATCTTATGCAAAAGAAATTCTCAAGAAATTTAAAATGGATAATTGTAAATACACTAGTAGAGAGTGGTCTAAAATTGAGAAAGGATGATAATAGAGAAAGGGTTACTTATAAATTTTTCAAAAGTTTAGTGGGAAGCTTTGATACTTAACATGTACAAGCTGGAATATTCTCTATGGAGTCGGTTTGAGGATATTTTTGGGCATTACATTCAAATATAAGCTTATATGAAGGGTAATTTCAGGCATTACATTCAAATATAAGGGACATTTTGGAAAACTTATTTAAAGGGTAATCTTAAATGATTGTACTAAATTGTGTAGAGCTTCAAGGTCACAATTCCAAGATTGAGAGAGGAGTCCAAAGCATGCAATGCATGCAAGTTTGAAATTGGAATATGTGAAATATAGAATTGTTTTGTATACTCTTTTAATTTCGTCCAAGCAAATAGGGTATATGTTATGTGAGGGAAAACTACGCCAGAGTGTTGCAAAAATAGTCTAGAAAAGTCCTAAATGATCTATATATCTATGTATTATGTTTTTGTACAAGTAGAGTGAAGAAATTGTGTTGCTTTGATCTCTTTTGTGTGCATAAGAATAAATTCACAAATTAAGCCTTCTTCCTCCCTACATCCAACAATAATTTCCACAAAATTTGTATGGGGGTTTGGAAAACTGTTGCTAGAAGCTAAATGTCTACCTCTATGACTTGGTGGCTAATTGGTTTCTAAAAGATTTATACCCAGGTTCAAAATCTAGTTCCCTGGTTCATATTCTCTGAAGTAGTAGAATCCAAAAAAGATGATGACAAATGAGCATCTGGCTGGCCAATGAGACCTATTAATTTGTGAATTTTTGGTTTATATTGTTAGCATTTTTTTTCTTCTAATGGAAAACATATGTGAAACTGCCTGTTATCGGATCATATTGATGTGCTGTTGTTGTCACTTACAGATTCTTCATTGGAAATGTGGAGATGTTGTGGATATTACCATTATAATTATTTTACCTGACATTATTTATCACAAATATTTTTCTTCCTTGAAGTATTAATATAAACACAATATATCACCAAAATGGCAAGAGCAGGAAAAATTACCCGTTTTCGCCTGTATCAATTCACATGCTCGTGCTAAGCTCAAATGGTAAATTTTCCTTTTTGGGATCATTATCATTGGAGCTTTATCCTAACTATTTGAAGTTAGCCAAATTTTGTGTTCTAATAGTTTAACCACCTGGATAACTGGTGAATATTTTTCCTTTCTGGTTTTGAAACCAGATTACCTCTTTTCATATTTTGGCTGAATCTTCCCCTCTTTATAAGCTCCAGGACACCCATGATTTGTGGGTGAAATGGCAAAAAGAGCATTTAGGAAGCGGGCTTGGCTTCATTGGTTTATTGTTGACAATTGCAACACTAATTCCGAAGCTCGATTCCCACCGCTATACTAAACAAAGAGGAATTGCCAAGAAAAGAGGAATCCTTGAATTCAACTCATAGTTATACATTATCGAAAATTAGTGATATTTCAACAGTTCAGTTATCTCTCTCCTCTCCTGCTAATGTAAATCTTCATTGAGAAGAAAAGAGGAAATGTCATAAGCTTTCATAAATAGAAGTAAATATGACAAGAACACTGAGATAATGAGATCACGTCAAAACTGGAAAAGTGGGAACTCACCCTCCTAATAATGAAAAATTATATCTACTAACAAAAGACCATAGCTCTCTCTCTCTAGTAGCCATAATCATAAGCAAACTCTGATATGCCAAACATGGCATTAAGCACTTGCATCACAAGGAAGAGGGTACCCCCAAATATAATTATTATGAGAATTGCAGACAAGGGGCTCTTCAGTAGCCCTATAATGGGCCGAAACACTGTGTAAATCACACCAGTGCTAACTGTTAGTATATAGAGCCCATATCTCCTCATATTGTCCCAAAATTCCTCTAATAATGGCCCTTCAGGACCAAGAGCCAATGCTTTCTCATCAAAGCCCAACATGAACATTGCCAACCCTATAGAAAATGCACCCAAAATGGCTCCCTTTGATAACCCATTTGAGAAAAACAATGGAGATTCATGGCTTCTAAGTTTTCCATTTTGGGTATCTTCTATGGTAAGTTTTGTGAAGTGAAACCTGGTTATTTTTGCCAAATTTGGGAAGTTTGTTTGTTTTCTTGGTTTGAAGCAGGCTTTTGTGGCTATGGGGGAGAGGGACTTAGCTGTTGGGCCGACGCATGGTGCAGGTCTACATGAAGTGGAGATCATTGCCTCTCTCTCTCTCTCTCTCTTTCTCTTGCCAATACGCCCTCAATTTTCCTCTCTCGCTCTTTGTTGCCTATGAATCTCTTATTCCTGGTTGTGTGACTGGTTACTGGTGGCCAGGCTTTTATCCATGTTCCCTTATCCTGTTGCTTTGATAAATGCCCTTGGTAATCCAAAGAATTTCACGATAGCCTTGTGTTTTTGTTTTTTTTTCTGTTTTTAATCCTCTTGTAAGCGGCACTTCATTTGTTTCCAGCGATGGTTCAAAAAGCGGATCGGTGATTCGGATCGAGCACTTCAAAAATCGATTCGGATCGATGAATCGACGATTCGGATTGAAAATCGGTTGAATCAGTCTGATTAAAGCTTCGAAAAAAATCTGAAAAATTATTAAAACTCATTATAAATATTTTTTTTTAGGAATCCAATAAGAAATGAGGGTATTACATTATTAAATTTCATTTTATTCATCAATTTGTGAATATTGAGATGCTCTTTCCCTGTATAAACTTAAATATTAAATTTGTATCACATAAAAGAAAAATCATAGAATTATCATGGATAAAATATATAATTATACATGGACTATAATAAAGAGTAGACTAAATCAATGAAAGAATGGCCATTAAAATTTCGTTTTTATGAAAAACTCTAATCCGTTAAAAAAACCCAAATTATTACAGCCTAACTAACTATAATCCAAAATTATTACAACCTAACTAATTATAATATTATATACTGAAATTATAATTATAAGTTTACATTTTGTAATTATTTTATTAGCTAACTAATAACAAATTAAAAATATTTTATAATATTATTTAATTTAAAATGTATTGTTGACAACTGTAAGAAAAATAGTACATTACATGATTTATAATGTAAAAATTAATAAATAAAATAAAAGATTTGGTTATCAATGTAAAAATTAATAAAATGCATACAAATTTTGGAAATAACACATTAATTTATTATATGCCCTTGGTAGAACAAAAATTAGCTCAAGCAGGGATAAACTATTATATGGCCCATGGGGCATTTGAACTTGAGAAGTCAAAACAAATAACATTAGTGATAACCATCATGCCTTCTTAGCATATGTCTTTAAAATTGCCTATTAATAGCATATATTTACATTATGTTTTCATTTAGTGATGTTTGGAAATTATCCCACATTGAAAGATGAGTATTCAAATATGCTATACAAATAACTATGTAATTGAAAGATAAACACAAGTGTGAAAACACTAGGGCATCCATGCATATGCACGCGTGCATGTGCATGTGCGTGTCGCACGTGTCGTACGTGTCGCACGTGTGGCACGTGTGAGAGTGGTGTGTGTTGCACGTGTGACGCGTACACATGAGTGAAGGTGTTTTTGAGGCCTGTGAATGTGTGTGTCGCACGTGTGGGAGTGTGTGAAGGTGTTTTTGAGGCCTGAACCGTGTCGCACGTATGGGAGTGTGTGAAGGTGTTATTGAGGCCTTAACCGGTGCACACGTGCACGCGTGTATGTGCGTGTCCTACGTGTGGGAGTGTGTGTGGCATGTGTACCACTCGTGTCACACGTACACACGTGTGGGAGTGGTGCGTGTCACACGCGTGACTCATACACACATGTGAAGGTGCTTTTGAGGCAGAACCGAGAGGGAACCGCTAGAACCGGGAGAGAACCGCTAGAACCGGGAGGGAACCGGACAAAATCGGGTGGGAACCGACGGGTCTGCTCTAGAACCGGACAGTTCCAGGTTTTCTGCTGGAAGCGGCACGGGCTGTGCCGATTTTTAAATCATTGGTTTCCAGGTATTTGAATTCTTTCAAAACAATATCAAACATCTTCTTGAGGGCTTTGAAAGGTGTCCAAAGGTGTCTAATGCCACCACCCTCACCAAAGGGTTATATGCCATTTTTTCCCATGAGCTGCCCATTAACTTGAATTTCCATTGTCTTTGACATTCCATCACCTATCAAGTACTTTTGTCTTGAATAAATTCCAAGACAAATGATTAAAATTAGGAGATGAGTACAAGGACATGAATTTTATTATTTATATAAGGAGGTCAAAATCATCATTGACCGTTAGATTTAAAATCAGCTAGTTGAAGATGTATCAATATTTAGACACAAAGTTCAAAACAAAATTTTCGGAATGTTGTAGCATACATCCATCCATTGGATTTCATATCTAATGGCTAAAAATGATTGTGACTACCTTGCAAAAAAAAAAATATAATCTCATGATCTTAGATCTATTAAAAGGGATATTCTTCACTGTTTCAAAATCCAAGTCTTGTATTGTTGGAAGACATCTTTACTCTTTGTGACATGCACTATCTTGGGTTGGATCTCCATGGAAAAAGTCACCCAAGGGTTTGAACTTCTTATGATTTTAATCATTAAGGAAAGATAATCATAAACGCCTTTTGATTATTTCAAGGGAAATATGCACTCGTCTAGTAATTTTATGTTATTAAAAAATTTCTTTTGAGATATTTGTATTTTACATTTATGTCCTTTCGTAATTTCTTGTATTTTTTTAAAATGTCTCACATTTTGAACCTTCAAGATACAAAGCCATAACTTATGTGATGACTTCGTAACCTTATAGACTTAAAGTAATTTTCTTTAGAAGATAACTTCAGACCTTCAAGACCAAGTCATCTCTTGGCTTTGAACATTAAAGACCTGAAGTCAATACTTGTATCTTTTAATATATAAGTATGGGAAAAGTTTATATAAGGTTGCAATCTTAAAATGTAGAATCACAGATGCACCTCAAAAATCTATCGGAAATGTTGTTTTAATGTTGAAAAAACCCTCTAATCGATCCTCTCGGCATCGAGATGTATGAATATGAAAAAAAAAAAAAATTTGAGTCCCGAAAATAGTGCATCTTGCAACACTTTATCTAGACCATCCATTTTCAAGATTTTCATATATTTATAGATCTCCTTGATTTTAACCATTTTTTAAATTTAAAATTTTCTAACTAGATATGAAAATAAATTTTAAGATAATACTAAGAATTTTTTACAACAAGATTACATGTTATGATAAAATTTTAAGATGTGCTTTAATTGGATTGTTTAAAGTTGCAACCTTATAGAAACCGCACCCTATAAGTAGTAACCTCAGACATTCTACCAAAGTCCTCAAACAAAGTCATGGTTTTTGTAGTTATTCTAAGGGGACTTCGATTTTTCAAAGTTTAGCTTTGGACCTTGAAGGTTTAAGATAAAGCCAATATAAATCTTGGTTTTGGACATTTAATAGGTTATTGAATGCCCAAAACCAAGAGATAACTTCACAAATATTGAAGTCCTTGGAGAAACAAGGATAAATAGAAAAAAACGTGCATACTATATTCCCTCAGGAGCATACTATCATTTACTCCCTCGGCAAAATACCAACTTGGGATATTTTTATTATTATTTTATTTGAGGTTTTGGTACCATCAAATTATAGCTAGATGATTATTTTCAAATAAAATAATTTAGATTTTGAGTTTATAAACATCTAAATCATTCCCTCGAAAATTTGGACGGTTCTGATGCAATATTGGGATGATATTTTTTTTAAGCAAATAGAGAGTGAGAGTTTTTTGTTTTTTTTCTTTGAGGTCATTTACCAAATTTTAGAGATCACATTTTCAAAATTTGAGATAAAAAAGATATCCCTAGGAGAATGTTTGGTTAGTGTGAAATTGTTTTCTGGAAAATAATTCCATATGAAAAAACTCTCTTGTGTGGTAAAATGTGGGAATATTTTTACATTAATTAGTTATCAATTGGTGTGAAAAGATGCATTAAGACTATTGGGAAAAAAATATTTCCACATTTTACCACACGACAAAAACAATTCATGTAAAATTGTTTTCCAGAAAGCAATTTCACACCAACCAAACATACTCTACAGTAAGTTTCGTGTGAGGGAGTAAATGAATAGTATGCTGTTGTGTGAGTAGGAAATCTTTTAGCAATAGAAAAATATGATTCTTTTATAAATAACGAAAAATTAGTAAGACATGAATATGAATTCCATTGTTTTAAGAAACTGGATCTAGTAAGTTTGGTGCTCCTGTTTGGAAAGGAAAGGTAGGGTTCTCTCAAGCAGCCTTGAAAAATGCATTAACCCTTGAGGTCTTGTATGAGACGAGGTAATCATCAAAGTTACTGCCCCACATAAATCTTACTATAAGTAGGGTAAGATGAGTCAGAATTCAACAGGACCCTGCAAATTAACTAAGTTTAGAGCAAATTTTTTGTTAGATCTATTATTAGTTCAAGCCTGAATTTGGTTATAAAAACACTCATGAAACAAATTCATCCTTATTTTATATATAATGGAGAAACAAGAATTTTACATATGATTCGGTTTGTGAGGAGTTCTGGGAACTTCTATCCATGGTACAATTTACTTCAATCCAGTACACAAATCTGGATACCTTTGATTCAGGTCTTGAAATGCTCACAATCTCAAAAGAAGTAAAATATATATAAAAGAAGAAAGAAAATATCAGCACCATGGCATAACACCCGTGTATATGTATGTGTCTTGACTTCTCTGCTCTTCCAAAGGCCTATTGCCTTCAATTGAGTCAAGTTGAAAGTATTTTCTCTCTCTTCAGATCTGCACAAAGATAGTCATGCTATTAGGAGTTTCTATCTGTAGACATGTGGGAAAATGCTAATTATAGGAAAAATCTCTTTCTCTCTCTCTCTCTCTAAAATTCAATGGTCTAAAATTCATTCATCATAAATAGATTAGAGCTAGCATGGAGATGGAAGACTCAAAGAGGAATTCAATGGTCTAAAATTCATCCTAAATGGATTAGAGATGAATCCATCTCTAATGAACCGTTTCAAAACAAAAAAATACATCCTAAATGGATAGAGATGAAAGAGATATGCCTCGTCAAAGTTCAGGCTTTTTATTATAGATTTGGGCACTTCAGGTCAAGTCACTTTCATCTCAGAACTATGGGGGGTTGGATACGTTGTAGGGGAGCTTATAAGGAACGGCCCCACAAAATTTTCCATGAAACTCTTCATAGTTTGGGAGATATGACGATCTAGCGGTTA